ACATGTAGCCGGTATAATCCCCTTACACAGTGTAACACACCAGCTCTGCAGGCACCCTGCACAGTGGAAGCTACAGCTATAATATTACACCAAACGACCTGCTATATTCACCCAACCTTTGCACATATAAGTGCAGGTGTTGTTTAGAGATAATGCCCCAATGGTCCTTGGTGGCAGAGAGTTTCACTCTATACAGTCATTATATTGTTCTAGGAAAATACGAAATTTATGGAAAATTTTTCTTGTTGTAATGATGCATTATTCCTGACCACAGTATCCAGCCTCAGCATGCTGCCTTCATAGTGGAGGGAGACAAAGTGTTTCTGGACCGCTGTCAGTCCAGCCCAGATGCAAAGATTATTGTCAATGGACAACCTCTTACTGAGAAGGATGAACTGGAGCACAATGACAGGTGAGAAGGGAAAAAAATTATAGTGGAGAATGAAAATCATTGACTGTTGTATACTAATGTATGACTATTTTTAAGAAGAAAAATTCTGATTGGGATGATGAACCGAAAAACAGAGTTTAAGGGAAAGTTTGCAAAGTGGTGAATGTATTAGTTTGTTACAAAATGTATGGCTTCACCACGGTATGTGTGGTGAAATTATATTGATGAAAAACAATATTTTTCTTTGTGTTTCTCATTCTACCCCACTTCATTGAAAGGATTAACTTTGGGGACCAAATGACCTGATGACATTTGCAATCTCCAAGCAGATACAGGGTGGCATGGGTATCTTCGGGCAGATACACAGTGGCTTAGCCTTCAAGCAGATACAGGGTGGCATGGATCCCATCAATCTACATGTTTAACAGCAAAATGCATTGGAAGATTCCATTGCTGCATGGGGGTATAGACTGTTGGAGCACTTCACATTTTGAACAGAGATGACTTAGGAACAATCCATTTGTGTGGGAGGGGGATAGGTCCATTTTTGGTATGGGGGATGTGGTGAAGCCATGCTGCATTTGCTCCTGAGCAAATGTCGGCCTTTCTAGTTATATGTATATTAGCTAGTTAACATATGTGCTAAAATTCCACGTGTTGATCAATATGCTTGTTATCCTTACAGGATTATGTTTGGAGCCAACCATCTGTACATCTTTGCTCATCCCAAACAAGCAGGCAGCCAGAAGCAGCCGGCCATGACGTATGAAGAGGCTCAGGCTGAGATCAATCAGAACTCTGGGTTTGTCCTGGGCAAAGGTTCACTGGGTAAGCTGGACATGGAACAATGACATACATGTACACTTCTTTTCTACAGCACCAGGAATACAATTAGTGCATAGATTCAGAGCTAGATTGGGGATCAAAATCATGAGCTACCAAATGCAAGGCAAACAGTCTACTTGGCCACTGCAATATATATAGAATACAACACGGGGTATTCCGTATCGCCCGAGGTATCGGCCCGACCGCGGGTCGGATCGCCCGACGGCCGCAGGCCGGAGGGCGATCCGACTCGCAGGAGGGCCGGGACCGAGGGCG